CTTTCTCTCTTTCATTATCTAGCACACAGACACAGAAGCACAACTTAATATTACTCCTAAAAATAAGCAAAGAAAGTAGAAGAAAGATGTTGACACTATCAAGTTATCAAAAAATATTCACCTCATTCCATTGTGGATTGATATCCCCTTTGACAACAGCTGTTTTCTTGCGCAGACCTGTTCATGATGGAAGCAAAAAAGGATTATCATGCATAAGAAAACCATTATACCTGCATAATAAGAATACAATGCTAAGATCTTTTCCCATTTAAGTACATAGCCTCACTAAAACTAATGAGTGAAAAAATCTAATGAAAAACACAAAATAAAAAATATCCCCCTTTTTTTACGTATGCGGTCATAGCCCATAAAAAGCAATAAAATAATTGCAACCAACAGTTGGACTGAAGATAAAGCAAAATGCTTAACTGCACATGGCATGTTTTATTACTAAGTACATCTTCGTTAGCAATTTTACAGTAAGTAAAATTCCACAGCCCTCAGTTCCACTGTCCAAAAAATTTCTTCTCATAATCATAAGAAAGCTCGTGATTGAGGTACAAGTAAGCACGTCTACAAATGTTAAATGTCATCAAACATCTATGAATTGTGATCTTATATTTTATTATCTTTATAAACTACTAACAGGCTAAGAGGATCATTATCCATTTAGAAAGGGGAGTGAAACCCAGAGCTTGGAGCTGAGACTAAGGGAAGGAACATGAATAAAAAGGAAAGGCTTATTTTGGACAAAGTAAGGATTTAGTCCAGAATCTTTACACCATAAGAAATATTCAGAAACAAATGAACCATAGGACAATTGAGGAAGTCTCCTTTCAATATAGAGGGCCCAGCTGATGCCACTTGCCAACTTTCATACTTGAGACTAAAAAAATTGCTTACTTTACTATCTCTCTATATTAACTTTTTTTTTAAACATTGATTTCACTCAACATCTTCACTGTAGTTTCTAAACTATACAAAGAAATTGAAAACAACATTCTCCCTATTTTCTTCTGACTTACATCTTACTCATTTATATTACAAACGCCATTGTTATTACTAGTCTAGTAGTGTCGTTTACTCAGGAGTATAATATTATTCATCAGCAACATGCTCTTAGTCTTAACAGTGAGTCCGGAAGCAAGAGTGCCATTTTTATTTGATTTTTATTCTTTCCGAAGTCATTGCACCTGAAAAGACGATAGGCCGACCCAGAAACTTTTAAATTATACCAAAACCAAAAACATAAACAAAAAACGATCAGGGAACATCAAACTTGGCTCAAACTCTTTTCAACACAAATGCCCACACTGCATTTCATTGATAGAGTGAGTATTCGATAAATCAGCGATGAAAGGACTCTGCGGCAGCGGCGGCTGAGAAGTTGGTGCCGTGTGGGGTGAAGAGGAGCGGTGAGGATAAAAAGGCTCCGTGGATAAATGTTACAAGATAATAATATAGATTAACTTCACAGAATGGGACAGTGTAAACGTGTACGGAAGAAAGAGAACATTTTGAAAGATGACAAGACAAGATAAACCGTAACAGAATTTTACAAGGAGCTTCACTTTCTAATTCATCGAGAATAAGCAATACTTGCAGAGCACCCGAGCCGGCGCCGGGAAGAACGGGTGAAGAGACGAAGAAATCTACCTACCTTGAAACTCAAGAGCAGCGTAAGGATCGCATTTTCCAAAAGTTTCAGGGTTTGGAACGTTTGTAGCACCGAGCACAACAACTTGTAGAGACATTTCAAATATTGCACCCACAAAACTTTCCCCGTAATCCCATCAGTCAGAACAATTTATCGATTTTCCATGGGCATTCATGCAGCACAAACTTTCTTCTCTCCTCCACTCATTACATCAACAAACTGTACAAGGATTGTGGGAATGGCAAGGGAAGCCACTCTTGCCAACGAATGTTGTTGACATTTTATCGTGTGGGCGTGGTCAATTAGAACACGCCCCTTTTCAACAATTGAACGGAAATAGCGCTGTCCATTGTTTGGGAAGGTTTGTGCAAAAACCCCTCTCAAAACAATTGCATTTTCATTTAAAATTAAAAAATGATAGCGGATAATTCGTAAATGGGATCTAGATCTAGATCTAGCGGGTAGAACAAATTGCGCATTATTAGGCTCTAAGTTAAGTACGTCGTGGTAAGTTATATTATTAGGCATATCTGTGTGCGCGCACGTGTCACACACGAGCGTGCGTGCGTGCGTGCGTGCGTGCGTGCGTGTGTGTGTGCGTGCGTGCTCAAACTCAAGTTGATTGAAATCAGATCTGTGCATCACCAGAGAAATAAATAGCGAAAGCTGCACGTAACGTGACATGAATCGACTGGTACTCGTTTAAACTGTTCTAATTGCAGTCATATTAATGTTAAATCACAAAGGGTAGAAGAAAAAGGGGGAGAAGAGGGGGTATTGTTGCCAGGGTTGTAGGTATAGTATTATGGATTTACACCCCGAAGGCCGAAGGCCCATTGACATCAGTGCAATGCTATAAATAGAAAAGGGCCATTCTGCTAAAAATAGACACGCATCGTGCGCGACTACGATTATTTCAGTTTGACACCGATCTCAGTATCGAGCATTTGGTGGTCGGAAAATAATAATATTATTCGAATAACTCTCTCTCTCTCTCTCTCTCTCTCTCTCTCTAGCTCTCTCTCTCTTGCCCTTTTTAACTCCCAGTGGAGCACAGGCCATCAACAGCATTACTCCAGCGAAGGCTGTCCTGGGTATCCTTTTCTATCTGTTTCCATGATGTCCTCGCTTTTTCAATTTCCGCTTGTACCGCTCGCCTCCATATCATCTTTGGTCTTCCCTTTTTTACTTTTTCCTTGTGGGTTCCAAGTTAAAGCCCGACTAATGATGCTTGTCGGGGGTCTCCTCAGGGTGTGTCCAATCCGTTTCCATTTCTTCCCCTGTATGTCTTCCTATACTGGCCTTTGGCTTGTTTTTTCCCACAGTTGAGCATTAGTGACTCGGTCGTACCACTTGATCCCCACTATCCTTCGAGGCATCTATTTACGAAGCTCTGCAGTTTCCTTGCTGCTGATGCTGTGAGCCTCCATGTCTCTGAACCGTACAGTAGAACAGTCTTCACGTTTGTTTTGAAGATCCTCAGCTTGGTGTTCAATCCCAGTTCCTTAGATCACACATCCATATATCATTCCGGAGAATGATGAATGCTGCTCTTGCCTTTTGGATTCTGACCTTGATGTCTTCGTCAGTTCTCCCTGCCTTGTTAATGACACTTCCCAGGTACGTGAAGGATTCAACATCCGCCAATGGTGCCCCTTGCTGTGTGACTGAGTGATAGGAACGTTGGCTGCATTCATTCTATCCATGTGAATATAATGTTATGCATTTTTCTTTCTCTCCGAGAAATTCAGGGGGTGTCGGCTCATTAAAATATTTTCTTCGCCGTTCAGCTCTTGCACCAGAAAATGAAAGTAGCAATACTATCCACATGACCAACACAGTTTTTCATTTGGTCAAGGGAGGCATAGGCCACGTAACCTGTTATGACGCTGTACACTCAGCGGCCCTCACATAATCATCATAATGAAGTTTTCACATGTTCAATCTGTACTTTTCCTTCAAATTTAAACGTCCCAAAATTGTCGGATGGTATGGATTCATAGTCGAGTATTAAATACAATAATTTTCAACCTCATTTATAAAACACTTGCAAATATGTTTAGATTTTTCATAAACGTTCACAAAGGTGTTGCAAATATTTATGCCCATTAAGAAAATATATAAATTAACCAAACAACACTGTGTGTTTAAGGTAGCCTACTACTAATTATTCTATTTACCCCGACTAGTACTGTAGCTTCATCCAATCAGGAGCTTCTTCCGTCGGGAAGAATGAATTTTCATTGGTATGTCCCTTAAGCTCCACCGCTGAAGTTCCCACTCACTGAAAATAACTGAGATACGGACCTTGCAAAGCTCACGGCCGAGGCAAAGAAACTGACGGTTCTATTAGTCGCGGGGGCTGAAGCCGCGCTGTGGGACGTGCCTATAATAGGCATGGCTTGATTTTTTACCACAGAATTCTACACTTAGTGTACAATTCTTTGCTCTTGACCTAGTTTGCACACCTTCACAGCTCAAGACCAAAGTGTAGACTGAGCACGTCCTCCGTGCCCCCCCCCCCTTCCACCCCCCCCCCCCGGCTCTGTGTGTTTTCTGTAGAGTTAAGAGATAATGTCAGTGCGCTTAGATTGTTGTGTGTACTTGTAGGGCCTGCACTTGAATGAAGTTTTGAGCCTGTTACTTGTGTACTGTGTACACCCGTGTTCTGTGTGTGGATATCAAACAAATAATGAGCGAGCGCTTTTAGTTGTTGTATCAGCGCTTTGAGGTTGTTTTAAACTGGAATCTTATGTTTGTTCTTCAATGCAGCATTGTATCGTGTAGACTACTTTTTTGAAAATTTGCTCGCCTTTTTTTTTAGAGACTGAGACCCCACCAGACAGCATAATTTCGCATCCTGTTGTGGGTGGAAAGCAAAAGAGACATTTTAATCTTGAATGGTTCATCATGAAGGATGCATCGTTCAACCAAAAAGTCACCAGCAAATTTATCTATAAACATCGAAGGACACAAATCATATTGTACATGTATAAAGGCGCGCATATGAGAGTCTATTTTCCTGCGGTAAAACCTGGTGCATTGTCACTTAACAAGATTGTAATATTTTAACATCTATTATTATTTTTACTTTTGTTTTTTTGTATATGCGTGTTTCACCGGCTTTTCAAGCATTGTGTATCCTTTATAATCTGCAATCTCGTTTGGACAAGGCAAGCCCCACCCTCTTATTTATAATTACAACGCACCCAAAGTCACGTCCTTGTTTTACAGTATGACACGGATAGGTCGAACACAGAAGACTCGATAACGCGCATCCGTCGAACTGTGCCTGCGGTCCCGTTTTTCTTTTCTTTTCTTCTTTACTTTTGTTTAAGACATTCCTCGAACTATCTAGGCCGGTCCCGAGGAATTCTAGCTATCAGTGCTATACTGTATAGGCTATTGGTTTTAAATGAAAGAGAGTATTTCAAAAAACCATTACTACAAAGCAAAAGTTAATATTGTTGATATTAGCATCACAACATTTTTCATGTACTCCTTTTCCCCTTGTCACAAACATTACATGTTTTGCCAAAAAACTTTAGAGCTTCTTGTCGACACAGCAGACCGCTTCCCGGGAACCGGATCTCCATACATAGATGGTCGTGACAGATATCGAGTACTCAAATATGTAAGACTCGACTACTAGATCAATGAAAAGGAGGTTGCAAAGGGAGGAACTGGCTGGCCACTGACTCGCCGCGAGCGAACAAGGCCTAGCCAACCAACAGTCCAACACTCTCAAAAGCTAAAAAGGGCAGTAAACATCGTTTCGGACTTCGGTTTCAGGTCAGACTCAGGGAATCTGAATGGACATTGACAAGAGCCGGGGTTTGCTAAGTGTGAAAAACCAAGATGACATGATATAGACCTAGATCTAGATTAGATCTTGAAGGCTAAGTCGTTTTGTGGTGTGAGAAAATAATAATTTTTCAAGCCCAGAGCTGGATACTGAGGGCCAGCATTACTAGACTACAGTTAGTCTTCTTGGTTCAGTGATCAAGTTGAGTACTGTTGAGCGCGAAGCATGAGGATCACCGTTTTCAAAAATGGCAGCAGTTCTAATGGACAGGTTTGGAAATTATAATTTCTGTTTAGAATCTAGATTTCTTCTAGTTGATTGAATTCTTCTTCAAGATTATTCCATGATCTAGATCTAGATTAGATCTAGAAGATCTGGGGAGATTTAGATATCTAGATCTAGGCCTATCGCGCAAGAACGGGGGTTCGGAGGAGGAAAGAAGGGAGGGGGGGGGGGGGGGCCCCCCCGACAAACTTTTAAATGAATAGATCTGTCCAAGATTCTTAATTGAGACAATTACTGGGGAAGATTGAAGAATACCGAACCAATCTAAATCTATATCTCTAGATCTAATGATAATGTGGGGTGGGTAGTTGGGGTGGAGGAGGGAATGGGGGGGGGGGGGGGGTTCAGGGGGGTCTCCCCCCTGACAAAATTGTAATGAATAGTTCTACAGGTCCGAGATTCACTATTGAGAGGTGTATTAAAAGGCCACCTCTATTCTCACCCGGAGTGAGAATAGTGCAGGCGAGTCTTGTGGCTATTCTCACCCGGTGCGCGTTCACCAAATTTTGCGTTCACCCTAAACCACAGAATTCTACACTGTGATAAACAGAAAAATTGTAGAATTCTGTGCCGTGAACAAACGTTCCATTACAACTGTAGCCTACTAAAAGCGTACAATTTTGTCTGTGGGCAGTGGAGAGAGAGAGAGAGAAAGAGAGAGAGGAGTAGCGCGAGAATTTCCGGGCAATTTACAAAATGGCGACCCGCGTAGTTCGGCTCGATTCGAAAAGTTAAATAGCCGTAGCATCTTTGTAGACAACCAAATTAATTTACTTTTGTGTTTTAACATCATTTTTTAACTTTGTTTTGGTCAATTTGATGGTCCACACCGATAGACAGTATTCAGAAAGAGACAAAGAGAGAGAGAAGAGGGGAGGAGTTTATCTTGCTAGAACTTCCGGGCGGGTGAGAATAGCCACTTTCGTATTAAAAACTGGGGAAAATAATTAATTCCTAAGGCCTGAGGTTGAGACAGGCAAAGTCAGTCTGCTGGTCCGGTATTCTTCAATCTTACCAAGACTGGGGGAAATCATAGGACATAGAGATAGGCAAAAGTAATCTCAATCCGCTGGTCCGGTATTCTTCTATCAAGCTTACTACCCTGTATAAATGAAGGATCGTTTTAAAACGAAACAATACTGAGGCACCCTATCACAGCCGATGTATATCGGCGGCGATACGTCTACAAAGGGTGTGGACTCACGCAGACATAGGCCTATTGGCGATACATCCGGAAAGAGTTAATATTGTAGCCACCCTACCGCAATTGGCAATGGCAGAGGAAGTTAAAGTAAAGTCTTACTACAAGGCAATCCCCAATGTCCAGATCGGATCCGGGACAGCGTTGGGCTTTACTTTTTAATATCGAAGTGACTATTCCTCCGAACGCTTGGGAAAGGCCACCTCTATTCTCACCCGGGGTGAGAATAGTGCAGGTGAGTCTTTTGGCTATTCTCACCCGGTGCACGTTCACCGTTATAGCCTAGATCTAGGCCAACAAATTTTGCGTAGAATTCTACACTGTGATAACAGAAAAATTGTAGTATTCTGTGCCGTGAACAAACGTTCCATTACAACTGTAGCCTACTAAAAGCGTACAATTTTGTCTGTGGGCTGTGGAGAGAGAGAGAGAGAAAGAGAGAGAGAGAGAGAGGAGTAGCGCGAGAACTTCCAGGCAAAACAAAATGGCGACCCGCGTAGTTCGGCTCGATTCGAAAAGTTAAATAGCCGTAGCATCTTTGTAGACAACCAAATTAATTTACTTTTGTGTTTTAACATCATTTTTAAACTTTGTTTTGGTCAATTTGATGGTCCACACCGATAGACAGTATTCAGAAAGAGACAGAGAGAGAGAAGAGGGGAGGAGTAGATCTTGCGAGAACTTCCGGGTGGGTGAGAATAGCCACTTTCCTTGGGAAAATAAACTTGGTCTCTATTTCTCCGAACGGTTTCCGTTCTCGAGATTTTTTTGTTGCGAGATTTAGGCATCATTCTTCGATTGTTCTGCCATTCTGCGAGGACTGGGGGAAAAAAAAAGCATTTTTGGCATTGAATTCAATTTCTAGAGCTAGAGTCTATATCTAGAAATTTTTAAATGTCTGAATATATTCAGATACACTTCAGTTGTGGTTGGGACAACGTTCCCGGACTGCTTCTCATTTGAAAATGCCTTCAAAAGGTACTTCGAGAAAACAGGACTGCTCGGCAGTAACCTATTTTGCTGTAAAGACTGTTTAGTACCAGTAGCAGGTGTATGCTACGGACATCCTGGAAAGACGGGACGGCAACCCGGAGTGACGGGTGGACATCGAGAAAGACCGAGGATGTCGGGAAAGACAGACAGTGGCAGAGGCTAACTACCCAGGTCACTGTAAGTATAAGTTACGTCTACCACAAGAAAAGACAGCCCTAGGATCCACCGAGAGGGGGGAGTAGAGGATGGATCCACAAGGACGGATTCAATGGACAATGACCTAAGCGTTAAAAGGATGTATGACGTTTTGCCTTCCGCGGTGAACCTTGTCAGATGGAAGGTTACAGGAGGACAAAAATGTAGATGCGGTAAGCTAGGAACCATGAAGCATATTTTGTCAAACTGCAACCTGGCTCTTAACAGATATACAGTAGTCTCCGCCTAAACGCACGCTCCGCTCAAACGCATGCTCCGCTCAAACGCATGCTCCGCTCAAACGCACGCTTTCGTCATCTGACGTTTTTAAAAATTATATTTAGACCTACAAACGTACGGTCACTCCCTCTAAACGCACACTCCGATCTGCGAAACACGCCGACAAGTTAAGTTTGGCAAGGGGAAATTTTCACGACAACCTGCACTGCCTGCATAACACAAGCCTAGAATTTACTAGAAAACCAGATATTTGGTGAGAGTGCCCCTCACGCCGTACAAACAGAGTGATGGACAGCGTTTACACACCCTACTTTCCACTGACGCAGGTCTTGATCTAGGGCTGGTCGGTTAAATGTTGGGGGAGGGGGGGGATTGGGGGGGACTGAAATGTTTTTTGATTGGTCACTGGAAATGTATCTTTGAGAGAAAGTTTCTGACTCTGGTGTTTGAGTTTGAGTGACTGCGTGTAATGTTTAGTTAGATCAAGATCTAGGCCTGATGCGCGACCTGCGTAAATGCCATAAAACAGTAGGCAGGCCTCTATAGAGGATTAAAGATTAGCCAAGTAAGCCTAATAAGCTGCGCTCGAAGAACTTACGTACTTGTTCAACGAATCTCAAGAGAAAATGTTTCTCGAGGATGATTCTGCATAAATTATTTACGGTCGGGGGTGGTCGCTTGGAAACTGGAAAGCCACGTGGTTGGTCCGTTGTCTCTATGACTATAACCAACAGTTTCCTCTTAGCTAAAGGCTGTCTGTTCCCGACGTTTATAGTGCAATTTCATTACATTGAGTTTGGTCCCCCCCCCCCCCCCCCCCCAATTCAACGCCTTTGTATTCTTAACCCCTGTCGGGGAGTCCTTCACAAAACAGCCACATGTCGTCACATATCTTCTAAAATGACCCCCTCCTCCAAGGGAGGTCACGAGAGTAATAAATTATAAGGCAATGAGATGACTGCGTCTCTTCCTCCCTTTGCAAAGGTTCATGTAAACGCACGCTCTGTATAAACACAAGCTAAGAAGCCCTCCCGAGCACCGTGCGTTTAGGCGGAGACTACTGTACCTGGAGGCACAATGAGGTGCTGAAAGTGCTCACCACAATGACGACAAAACAGGTGGAAGAAGGAAAATATGCCCCCAAGCTACAGAAGCATGGACTCACCAAGATTGCATTCGTTCCGCAAGGAAGCAAGGTTCTCAACAGAAAGAAAGCAAAGGAAGCCATGGAGCACCAGAGCGGAGGCACATGGGAGGTAGCTGCTGACTTAAAAAGGCTTTGAGAGATTCTTCCCCATCCCAACTACGAAAAAGCCAGACTTGGTGTAATGGGAGAAAAAGGATAAAGAGGTGCACTTGGTAGAGCTCATGGTGCCCCACGAGGACAATATCTACGCTGCTCATGAGCGGAAAGAAAACCGCTACGAGACACTCGTCGAACAATGTGAGGAGGCAGGATGGATAGCTACCCATTTTCTGGTAGAGGTAGGATGCAGAGGTTTCGTAGCAACAAGCGCCCGTAAGTGGATGAGAGTGGCAGGACTTACTGCAAAGAAAAGCAACGCACTCACAAACTCCCTTCAGGAGACAGTAGAGAAAGCCAGTCGCTGGATCTGGTTGAAGCGAGAGGACGCAGGCTGGAATGAATCCTAAGAGTTGGCAGCAGAGGAAAACAGTCGAACTAGCATGGAGACTTCACATCGGTTAGGGGGCTCTGTGCATCAGAAAAGCTGTAGAGAGGAAGAACCCGAAACAGCAACGCATTCTCTCCTGATGATCTCCATGCTAGCGTCCGGGATACGGAGCGTTCGGCTGTGAGCAGTGCATACGGCTGTTTAGACTATGCACCCCTGAAGCTAAAATTAAAGTCCTTCATTTAAACAAAAAAATCCGTCCATGCCCCCAAGCTTCGTTCACACCCTATACTTATAATATACACACGAACACTTACCCACTCACACGCGCACGCCACTCCATTCGCAAATTGTCAACAAATCTCGAGAACGAAAACCATTAGATGAAATAGAGTTTCAAGTTTATTTTCCAGAGCGTTCGGAGAAATAGAGCCGGCCTTTTAATATTGTAGCATTTTAAGCATCACAATCACCTAGTTTCATGAATAAGCTCTGAGAATTTGACAGTAGTGAACCTCAAACATCATAGATTTGCCGCAATGAGACTAACTCAAATCAGCCTAAAAACAAGTCAAAAATGTTTTCGTTTTCATTGCCATCATTTCATCAAAACTCTATTTGTAATGTTGTGTATAGATTATATAGTAGATATTATTTATAGACTAGTGATGGGGAGGTACCTGTGAGATAGATCTACTGTTGACAAGTATTCACTTTTTGCAAGCACACTACAGTTAATCCACATGATGCTAGCTTGGGTACGGCCAAAATCAAGTCATAATGTTAGCCCGTAATTTACAACAAAGTGGCTATTTGGACTCAAACTTCAATTATTATAAGGCATGCTGGAATTGATGTTTTTTGTATCGATTTCAGCCTGACTTACTTACTGGTTGATGATTATTCCAAACTGACTCTTCTGCTGTCATTTTAATATATATATATAGTTTTAAAATGTAATTTGCATTTTATTTGTCCCACAAAAATTACAATTTTTATGATTTTACTTCTCTAACACTTTGAGCTGATACTAGTGATACACCTGCTTCAGACTGCAGAAGGATTGTTACTTGTCTAACACATGCATTATATAAATTATTGCTTTAGCCTGATTTAATTTGAACATCATGTAAAATATATGCTTTTGGAAAAGCTATCGTTTTGACCTCTTCACTGCTTTCAGCTCAGATTGCCGTTTCCCTGTTTGCCTTTGTTGTGTAGTAGTAGTATTTCAGATTTTGGAACTGTTTTTCACTTTTGATGTCTCAAAGTTATACTTTTCTTAATTTGTGTTGAAAGTTTTGGCCAGATCGTAAAAGCCGAGGAAGGCAAGGTCTTTCTGCTGGGATAACCTCTCAGCGCCTTGATTGGCCTTAAAATAGACAGGGTTGGGACTCTGCCTCCTAAATGATCTAAATTGTGTTGATGGGAGCATGGAAACAAAAATGAAACAAAACATCGTCTGTCTCTATACAGTCAACGTACTATATAATGCATAACTATGCCTTGATTTCTGGTATACAAACATTCATCTAGTCCTAGTGTGCCGGTATCGGTTGGCTTGGAGGATTCCATTCCGTGTATTTATGAAACAATAATGTATAAAATTATTATCTGAACTGTGACTACTTTCTGAAAGAAATTCAATTCTGTTCAGTGATGATATTCAGGGAATGTCTTTCCTACTATGTACCATAAGTTGTCATGAGGCATGGCTCTGCACTTCAGCTAGAGATTCATGATATATCTTCATTAAAAGGGGAAATGGAAGAATGGAAATGACATAATGAATAATCATGTGATGCGTCTTTCCTTGCAGGTCATTCTGGTTCCTCATACTTGGTGTGCCCTGAGGGAACAGATAGGAAAAAAGCTTCACGTTAACTTGCTGTGTTTGTTTAATTCACACGGTGGTCTCATTGATGACTTGAATCTGATAAGGTATGTTGCAGTACACTGTAGAACCTGTCCCAGACAACCACCCATTGAAGAGGAGAACGGTGTTTATCATAGACAGGTGTCTAGGGCAGTGTCATATATAATGATATTATATATAAGTGAAAAATGCAGGGCGGAAAGATGGGAATAGTTGTCTTGGATAGATGGTTGTTTAAGCAGGTTGGACTATATTTGTTACGATGCGGTGGAATCATATTTAGTAGGCATATGTGGAGTTATTGTGGTATCATCTTAAAGCTTGTTCATAATTTGCCTTGATTTTGATGAAAAAAATACCCATCTATTTTTCAAAGTAGACGGGATATTTGCGCTTGAAGGAGATGGGGGGGAGGGGGGCTTGGTGTCAGAGGCAAATCAACGAGAAAATGACTGCCAAAGTTTGAAGACTTCCAAAGCTTGGGTGTCCTTGAAACCTGAAAATTAACTTTTTTTCTGCCTTTGATCAACGTTTTTCAGTAAAATCTGGGCAGGACTGTGCCTTTAAATGGACATAAAAAGTTCTGAGCCCGCCCCCCCCCCCCCAATAAAACCCCAACAAAAACGAAAACAAAAAATCGAAAAAATTGCAAAGCTACCAGTTTTTTAAAATTATTATATTATTTTATAACTCTGCCAACTATTTTCTCTTCCTCAGAGATGATGATGTCCTGTATGCTTCTGAGGGAGATCCATTTTGTAGTAAGTTTGAATTACATGCTGGTCACATTTAAACAAGTTGTTTCATGCATGGGATGAAGACTGTAGAAATGGGATGATCCACAGTGGAGTCTTCTTAAAAACCAAAATCTGCAAGGCCTCCAGATTTTCTTCGCTTTAGACAGGTTTTCAGTTAAGACAAGTTGCTTCAATGTTTTTTAAAGATTGGGGATTTTATTTTCTTTCAGTTTACTGCTGTTTTCAGATTAATCATGTTCAGTTTAACACTTTGCCCCATGGGACGCTGATCGGCTTTGATCGGCGCCGGTAAGAAGCTGTCTCTTTTCCCCAATGAGACACTGATTGGCTATGGTGTAACCTCGCAACAAAAGCATTGGAGGAATGCTCTACATTTAGACATTCACATTTATTAATGTTATATATATATAACTTCTTTCCTGAATGATTTGTTTGGCTCTTAAGCGCGGAAATCAGTTAAGTGCTGCATTAGTGTTGCCATGTTGAAGATTTTGGTGATGAATCTGCTAGATTTAATGTTTTCGGTTCCTGTTCTGATTTCTATTTTTGATGCCTGTGCTATCGCCACGCTCAATTTTCTCAGTGTGCTGAAAATTCCAGGATCGGGGTGTTTTTTGGCAAGATACAGCTATAGTACTGATGTATCTTCTCTGCTTCCTGATACAGAGGGACAAAGGTTTTGCACTTTGTGGGCTACGTGGGTGAAAGTGTTAAACTTTTTTCAGCCGCGTAAAAAAACCCCCAAACTGTTATTGTTTTAACCAGGTTGTGGTTCTTTTCCCTTTTTTTATGTGTGGGCTGTGAGTGTATGTTTGAAAGGGGGTATTTGGGGGGGGTTCAATTTCCTTTTAGGAAGGTACTTACAGCTTTGTCATTGCCATGTTTGAGCACACTTGTTAATTCAACTCGTATACATTGCTTTAGATATATTGGAGGGAATTTATGAAGTTTAAAATTGTGTTCTTGAATGTTTGTACCTTGGTCTCACTTCAGTGTACCTTGTTATGACACAATGAGTGTCTTACTATTTCCTTTTGGTATTAAGTTATATTTGTTAATATGGTTTTGGCTGACAGACAAAGTCATGCAGAGGAAATGTGTATTTATTTTTGTAGATGTATGAAAAGAAAAGATAGGTTTAGAGAAGACATTGTATTTTCTTTCCTTGCTTTTCCAGGTCCTGTCCCTCAGCAGACTGTGGGCCAAGCTGTTTGTCAACAGGTCAACCTTAAGGCAGCAAAGTCTGAGTGGGTTATGCTCAATGTTGGAGGGAAACTTTTCACCACTACGAGGTAATTACTTGTATGCATAGGACTTGTAATAGTTTTAAAAGTTGTTAGTTCGATTCCTGGCTTCAACAGATAGGATGCTGTATCCTTAGTTGTGATTCCTCAGTTCATATAATAGCTGCAAGTTGTACTTGATATGGTCTGAGACAACATATACATGAGTAAATTATAGCCATGGGGCCATGTGTGCCAGAAGGTGCTACAGTGCTGTGTATGTTTCACGGGAGACTGAAGTTGTATATTGGAATCAACAAGTTGATCAAGGGAGTTATTGTAAGGTCAGCTTCCAGGGGATACTTGACTGTAAATGAGCATTTAGCTGATATTTTTGTTGTCTTATCAGAGAGGTATTCATGAGTGCTTGGATATATATGTAAGTGAAAGTATTACGAGTTGTTTTATTTATTTTTACCCACTTTATAAGTTTAGGAATATCACTTTTGAGACCAATTTTCATTTTTCTTCTGTGAGAATTTATTCTTTTTTTTTCCTCAAAAAGTAATTTCTCAATTTATTGTTCTGTGCTGAATGTTTTTCCGTAACATTATCAGAGTTTGAAAGTTTTAATACTGAATTATGAACTTGTCATTTTATGCTAAATTAATTTTATATTTTGTGCGCCTCTTTCCAGGAGCACTCTTACCAGGTTTGATCCGGGGAGTATGCTGGCCAGGATGTTCAGCACTGACTCAGGTTGGAGTTGGATTCTGCTTCATTCTAATTGCCCTTAAAGATAGTTTTTTGTCATCTACAACAGCGTGCTCATACAGATATAATATATACATTAGACTCCACTGAAATGGAAATGTGGGGGACTTCTGGCTTTTTTCTTCACTTTAACCAGGTTTTTGGTTTACAGAGGTTGTTCAAATAGAAGTAGAAAAATGGGGATTTTATTTTCTTCCTGTTTTCTACAGTTTTTGGATCAACTGAATTCGGTTTAAGCAGACTCCACTGTTTTTGTCAAGATTTGATCTCCTCAAAATCTCTGACTTGCGCTTGAACTTATTTATAATTAATTAATTGACTACACTTATATAGCATATCCAAAATTGAAAGCAGGCAGTGTGCTTTTGTTTGTACTTCAGGAACTCTTAAAAGCCTAGTTGTTTGTGGAAGGTTTGGTTGAGAAGGTAGGCTGGCCTTTACTAACTTGTCAAACTTCTCATCTCATTTGCTACGAGGTTCACTTATCATGGGCCTCACTGTGCACTCATAGCTGCTCGAACGAAGAGAGACAGTGCCAGCAAAACCCGGGTGATACTGCAATTCACACCCTACATACGGAAAATTTTATCCTTGATTTGTTTGTTCTGTTACTTTCTGATTAGTGGGATCTGACTGACTCTGTAAAACAAAGGCACATTTGATTTCGTTTATTGGATTGGGATGTGCAAAAACTGAAACCTCGTTAGAAATCTCGCTAAACCAGTTACAGCCATTCTGCTGATTGTGCAAAATCATATGGGAAGTACATAAGTATGCCCTAACACTTCATTTTTGACTTCCGTAAAAAAATACATACTTTCCTTCAGTTTATTTTTTGTTTTGTCTTGTGTTGTTGCTGGGTTTTTTGGGTTTTGTTTAGTGTTACCAATTTTTTTTCACTCTGCTGCTCTGTCTGACCTATGTGTTGAAATGTTTGTGCTTTCAGACATCGAGTGGAGCAGCAGTGTGGACGAGTCTGGGGCGTACTTGATTGACAGAAGTCCCTTATACTTTGAGCCAATCATCAATTACCTGCGGCACGGGAAGCTCATCTTGGACAAAAATGTCAATCCAGAGGGTGTGTTGAGAAAACTTTATGTCATGTGCTTATTTGTAGTCATACATCCCCCTGTAGATTCTCATGACTCAAAATGACTCCTGTGGCCGGCCTGTACAGTATTAATTATTTCCATTTTTTCTTCCATTGGGAGCATATATTATTGGAACCTGTTAGTGGCACACTTCTATTGTTTACATAAATCTTGTCTTTTGAATTTTTGGGGTTTTTTTTGTTACAGGCAGCTGAAAAATAATCCTTGTTACATTATATTCGCTAATTGATAGTTGCTGTCGTTGGTTTAAATGATGCTATACTTGGGCGTGGTATATGCCAACACGTGGCCAGGGAAGCAATAAAGTGAGTTGTTGTCCTCAGTGACTCAGCTCAATAAAGGCCACATTTCACATGTGGCCAAGGAACATCTGAAGCTCAAGGATTCTTGCACTGATAAGGAAGTTCTTCAATGAAGTGGTACAGCAGAAAATTTGTGGGGAATGCACCATGTACAGTATGTACCCAATTCCTAGAATAAGTTTTGACTGTTCACTTACAAGATATCCTTCTGTCCTGGATACAATGCTCTGTTTTATTTCACGTTAAGGGATTAGAAGTTGAAATATATCTTAATTCAACAAGTCATTTTCATAGCAAGAGGTTTTGTGGGATATTAGCACAGTGAAAAGCTAAGACACCCTTCGTGTATTCAGGAGGTTCAGGATCTTTCCCCACACTAGTCCCAAGGTATCTCTCCCCCTCCCCCCCCCTGAGTATTTCAAGGCTGTATTGCTCTGTCATAGAGGATTAAAACTGAATGAAAATAAAAAGATCTTATAAAAATATGAACTTCTATGGATGCTGCTGCATGTTTTAATAATGAATATTTCATGTTTAAGGGTTCCAACTGTAGGTGTGTTGTTTTTTTAAAGGAAAAAATACCAAAACAAAAACAGGTTCTTATGTCTGTCTGAACTTTTTTCTTCAGGTATCTTGGAGGAGGCGAAATTCTTTGGCTTGACTTCCCTGATTGAGACACTGGAAGATATGATTGAGGTAGATGAGAAATCTATGCACCTTTTTAAGTTCGCTTCTGCAGTTTTTTGTCTTTAGTGGTAAAACCTGAAGATACGACTCGAGCAACAACAAAAAAATGTGTCAGCGTGGAGGGTCATCATCTATCTTTGTACCCTTATTACATTCTTTCGTTCATATTGACCAATTTATTTGTCATTGAATCTCTCTTTGCATTAAAAATCAAAGAACTGAGTTGGATTCACAGGATGGCCTTGACAGGCAGGTTTGATGCTGCCCCTTTTCTAAATAATCAGAAGTACTTCGGAATTAAAATGTTATTCTGGAGTGGGGGAGATAACTCAGATAACCCAAGTAAATATATTCATATGAAAGATTGGTAGAATTTGTTACCCTTTGCGAACATGTTGTTTAGGAGTTTCAAAGGTTGTAGCAGACATTCCCATATTATTTACCTTGTAATGCATTTCCTGAGTAACTGTTTTGAGAATGCATATCCATGGTAAAAAAAAAGTATATGCGAGAAATATAGGAAGGAATGGTTATTTCTCGAAGTGTAATGCGGAGGCTCTCGTGGTCTAGAGGTTAAGGTGTTTGCCTCTCATCCAATAGGTCCCGGGTTCGAAACCTGACAGCAATGGAAAATTTTCTACTCTAAAATGTTCTCCTATCACCCCCTTTCCTGCTCTTAAACAATGTTCTGTCGTCTGCTTTCGTTTATAATTTCTGAATTTTTCCTGTTAGATTATCATTCAATCCAAACTGGTGACTCCGTCTCAGAGCACAATCATTCCTATGCCAGTATCAGAAACAGATCGCCTGTAAAATTACTCATTTTGCTTGGAACTGATGGAAGCAAAGCATACACCCCATGCCCTCCTTTATTACTTAAAATTACGGCTTTGCCAGGGAGAAAACGACGTACGGCGACATGGTGTGAGACAGAATTACACAATGAGGCAAGCCTGTGACCGGCCATTAGTGGCTGGTGGTCAGTGTGAGGGGGCTGTGCTGTAATTATGACGAACGTTGTGTGTGGTCGCTTGGCGTAGGAAAACTTGATAACTTGGGTCGAACTCAGCTCAGTGATGCAACACACCCCAAGGGATCCGATGGGAGGTGGTTAATTTGACATTACTTTCCCTTGAAAATGTCGTAATAGCACATTTTCATGAGAGCATACCTTTCTTGTTATTGTAAGTTTTTGCTATTAGCATTGTATTTTAACTATTTGGGGGGGGGGTGTTGTATCATTATGAGCATTCTTGCACTTACTTTCTCCTACTGGGTATGCCTTTTCGTGGATTTACTTCAAGAATTTTGTTGACCTGAGCAAATTGCATTGTTCTGTCAGTGAAGTGCCTATTATTGTTTTTTGGTTCCCTTTTTTTTTTCACAGCGGGATCAGCTTCCAGATGACAACACGCCCATCACAAGACGAGATCTAGTGTTGAGACTTTTGTCCACTCCCACAAACAAAGAGCTAAGATGTCAGGTTTGTCACATGTGTTCTTTGAGATAATAATGATAACAGATTGAATTTAAATTTATATTTCGCTCTATCAAATACAAGTATTAGCTCTGAACGCTTGAAAATAATTATACTGAATACCTAAGGTGCTTTCTGTGGGTCTTATTGTGACACTTTTACTCTTCCTGATTGATCAGGGAAGTTATCAGTTGTTATCCAATGTGGCCCGTCTTTTGAGATAGTTGTTTTATTTTTTGACTTTATAAGGTGTGAATTATTCTAAGCTTTGAGTTTGAGTAAAGAGAAGCACATCAACACAATGACAGTCATTATAGTGCTTGGAAGAAGCAAGAAAAAAGACAGAAACAACAGAGGGAAAGAAAAGAAAAAGAAGTTTCCAAACTTGTGATATAATTTACAGTGATGCTCTTTCCTCTGGGTATGGCGTTTAACTCTTTCATCTTCTCTCTTTGTTGCTACCTGTCTTATTTGTGTATCCACCTTGGGGGCTTTTATCTCCAGGTCCCAGTTCTCATCAGTTGGAAAGTTTCACATATGTTGTTGTTGGGTTTTTTTTGTTCTCCTTTATAAGTTTAGTCTTTTTACTTTCATATTTTGTTGTTGCTTCAGTCGTCAATACAAATATTTTTTTTAGTTTAAAATTGTCTTGCTATACCTGTCATATCATATTTATGTTATAATTTACTCCTCAGGGTATGAACTTTTCAGGTGCCAATCTTTCCAAGCTTGATCTGAGATACATCAACTTTAAGTATGCCATTCTCAAGAATGCAAACCTGACTGGGGCCAATCTGTCGTACTGTAACTTTGAGAGGGCAGATCTGTGCAAGGCAACAGTGGATGTAAGTCTGATGATTTAGTTCATGGAGGTCTTTGAGTCCTCTGAACTTGATCAATAAAACAGTCCCAAGTTTGTTCATATTTTTATATAAACTTTTCTCTCTATGTGTTTTTCCATGACACAGCTTAGCAATAAGTTTATAACTTTACATTTAATACTTTTTCGGTTGTGAAATTTGCATTTCTATCCTTAAACAATTGTGGAGCATATGACTTAAGTCTTTTGTCACTTTGTATCAAATTGGAAAAATTGTTCTCATTTAGAGGGATACAAATTACTGACCTGTTTGCTGAAATTCTTGCTTGGGGTCACTTTCACGGTAGCCTTTTGTTTATGAAATATATACACATAATTAAGTATCTTGATTTTAAGTGAATTGGCATGGTTTATTGAAGTTGGTTATGTGCAAATAGACATGGTGACACTTGGCAATAATTTATACAAGCATGCACACACATCAATATTATTTGAGATGAACTGATCTCTACATTTGAAAGGCAGGGTGATATATTTTTGTAGTATCTGCATCATTTCAAGTATGTTCAATGAGGAACTTGCATTGAAATGAGACCCATGTATTTTTTTGTTGTACTTTTCAGTCGGCCAGCCTTTTGGGAGTAAAGATGCTGTGTGCGAACCTGGAAGGCACTTCAATGAGAGGCTGTTACTTTGAGGACCCAGCAGGAAGCAGAGCTAATATGGAAGGTTGGTCACCATTGCAAGTGTACTTTTTAAAAAAAAGTTCAATATACAAATTGTCTTTCATTTGCAAGTTTATTATTAAGTCAAGAGTAAATGCATCAAGGCATTTTGTTTTGTTCATATCTATCTTATGGGTTATTAGGGCTAGACTTATTGTAAATCGCCAGTTTGTTCAACTCTTTTTTCTGAATAGGCACGTTGCTGTACTTTGACTGTCTTAACTGTCAAGCTGGATGGAATACTGTAATGTGATCACAGACCCTCTCAGATTTTTCATCCTTATTTGAGAAGACGATTCACTCAATCTCACTTGTCTCACTTGCCATTGAATTAAGTTGTATTGGTATGGGTTTGACATCCTTTTCATTCTGTGAGCTTATGTAAACGGCAGGATATCCCAGTTTTACATCTAAGTATGCAGAGAGCCCTTGAAACTCTTCAAGTAACTTATGTTAAAAAATGCCACTTTGGAGACAGAAACGATGATTATGAGCATCATAATTTAGGGTGATACCAGTTGAGCTGATAACATGCCTCTTCTCTAATTAGGGATGTTGAAAAACTTGAAAAAGAAAGTAGCATAAAGTTGACAACTGCCGTTGCCAAATCAAAAGTCATAGAGAACCAGGCACTTAAGCATGAGAGGCGAGCGCCATACCTTTAGAAGACAAACAACACCCCCACCTCACCCGTCCCCATGGTTTCGTCTGTCTGACGGTGCCCCATTCCTTGCCACAACAGGTCTCCATCTGTCCTGCTTCTTTGATGAAAAGATGTAGATCACTGTCAGATTTTACGTAGATCTTAATTTTTTTCTTTTTCCCCTACTGTGCCTGGAGTACCGTTGTCATTAAGTCTTTTTTTATATTTCTGTTTGTGAGATCAAGGTACTTGAGTCGTCTTTTGCTGATCTCATAAAGCATAATATGTTGTATACTAAGTTGTTTCAGAACACTTTTTGAGACAGTCTTCTGTTACACTACATTTCTACTGCATGGATCCTGCTTTTATCTTCCTTTTAAATGCCCAAAACTATTGGCCGTAAGTCATTCTAAAATTTTGATTTTGAGTTCTCCTGGTACTTCCTTGTCTTTCATGCTCCGTTATTTTTAATAACATCCACTTTTTTTTGTCTCTCCCAGGTGCACTCATGAAAAACGTGGACCTTGAAGGTAGCCACATGGCTGGTGTGAATCTCCGAGTAGCTACACTGAAGAATGCCAATCTTCAAAACTGTGATCTCAGGGGAGCTGTGTTGGCTGGTGCTGATTTGGAGGTAACAATATCCATGTCATGATCATGCTTGTGAAAAATATATGTTGAGATTTTAAGACAGATATGAGAAAAAAGAAATTTCTTTCGCTTTTTGCTGCTTTGCTCTAAAGCAATTGACTCTCTATGGTTTCAAGATTTTTTAGTTGTGGTGAAACTTTATAGAGGGGTTGGTTGTTCAATAGGTGACAACTTCACAGAATAGTCACAAATTATGTTAAATTCTTTCATACTTGTCGTGTTAATTTGTTTTTTTTGTGTGTTTTATCCATCAAATGATCATGCAATTTGTGAAAGATGTAGTATTTTTGCCACCAGTTTTATAAGTAGAACAAAACTGGTGTCAACTTACTGGTGACAACGCACAAAACAGTTGCATTTCAAGTATTCCCGCTTTTGCTGTTGGACGTAGATTTTTTTGGGTCGAAAAGTAATGAAACTGTCGCAAAATAGAAAGTTTTGAAGATCTGAATCGCATCATTTTCAATGTGATCACTGGATTCACAAGTATTAAGAATGTAATAAAGTCTGTGTTAATCATTAATATGAGGGATGAGTTATATTTCATTTCATGTTGGAATCCAGTGTTTTGTCTTAAATGTTTCAGAATTGTGATCTGACTGGCTGTGATCTTCAAGAAGCCAATCTACGTGGGGCAAATTTGAAAGGAGCAACGTTTGAGCTGATGCTTCATCCTTTACACATGGCACAAACTGTGAGATAGGAGTTCCCATCTTTTGCTGGGGTTGTCAAACGTAGTGTTTGAGCCAGCATCTTGTTATAAGTGTAGTTTTCTTTTAAAAAGGCCTGTGGATCATGTTGTGAGTATAATGAGGGCCTCTGCCTATCTTGTGATATATCTTTCAATGACCTTGCATTGCCACCGTACCGTTGCTTATTGTTCCACGTGCAATGCAATGAGAAGTCTTTCAAATTGAGGTGAAAAGTTTGCTGGAGTAGAGGGGAAAAGATGATGTTCTTTGTTTTCCTCTTGTCTTTGTTTTCTTTTCGAAATGAAAAGAAATTATTTTTGAATGTGGACTTTTGGAGCGTATACATTTACATTTACCATTTGTCTGATCTCTTTCTGTTTGTTGTGTTTGTGGAACTTGATCTCATTTCCTTCATGTTGTATGTTTGCCCCCTGAGTTTCATGCAATAACCGCTGTAGTTGTTCATGAGCTGACGACACCCAGAATAACCAGGTTTTGACTCTTAAATTTTTATAGCTTGGAGTTTAAGTGTCTGCTGCCTCCCCGTATACCCGCTCTACATCATATGTAAAGCTTCAACCCTATTTCCTTTATTTTCAGGTGGTTGGAGGGCACTACTGTTAAGTCCTACTTCTTTTCTATCCCAATGTTGTCTATCTGTCTTTGTTCCCTGCACTATCGTGTCGATGTGCTTCTCTTCACTTAAATTGAAACCTTTTCTTTATGTACGGAGAAAAATATGTTTATTTTGTTCATCATTTGAGGGGAATAGTTCTGATAGTGATATAGTTTATTATAATATCTCAAAAGTGAGTGTAACTGAGAAAGAACCTTGTTATTCTGGGTCATGGTACATATGACCATGATTAATGTACTGGCTGAGATACTGCAGCCTTGTTGGGAACACTTTTTGGAGAGCAGTTTTGTCTATCAATGGAAATAACCTGTTTGAGATTCTGTTTTACTTTTTTTTTTAAACCCAGGTCGGTGATTGCTATATATATGAATGTTTTGTTAAAACCTCTAGTCTACCACACCAACACCAAAGTTGTTGCTGACCACTAGTGTTTGATGAGAATTTATATGTGTATGTTATATACTTTGAATCTTGTCTTTTTTAAAGTTTTTTTTAAAGATAATTTCATTTTTATTTTGTTTTGTTTTTTGTTTTTATTATATGAAGATAAAGTATAGGTTCTCTCTTTATGTTTATATCTTTATGTTTTATATATGTATATATATATATAGTCAAACCTGTCCACGATGGCCATCTGTTTCAGAGGAGAAAAGAGATCATCAAAGACAGGTGGTTGCCTTGGGACAGTATCATTATAATTATTATTTAGCAAATACGCAAGAGGGAAAGTAGAAGGGGTCATTTATATATATATAAAGGTCGTTGTTAGAGGAGGTTGGTGTCAAGGGCGGGAGCCCAGGGGGTAATGAAATGATGTTAAGGTTCTTGGGAAGCGGAGACAACCTTCTTCCCACTAGGTACACAGTACTCACTGCCACAATCCCTTTTCTCGCAAGAGTGGTTTCTTTCTCAAACTTTCTTACACGCCACAAAAATGTCAACATAATACGCACATTGCCGAATTGCCCCAAAACAACCTACACAATAGTCGCTAAATAGATCCCAGTGTTCTGAGCTCCAGAGAAGAACAGGGTTTAGAGCAAATGGCATCGTATCAGGATTTAAGCTGGGAGGAACTAGGAGTTGAGTCAGAATAATCTCCCTTTACTTTTAAATCCTGGTTGGATCTGTGCTGAGTGAACTGTCCCTGTTATTAATCTAATTGACCAATGAAAGTAGTCCAAACTATTTAATTGATCAATGGAATTAATTGTCTGAACAATCTGATAGACCAATAAAATTATTTTAACAAACTGATTGACCAATAGAATTAGTCAGAACTATCTGACTGACCAATGAAATATGTCTGAACATGCCTGAATTATTTGACCATTAGCTTTGCTACATCTGGAGTCCACACCATCCTCTTGCTGTGTAATGGTGCCATGCTTTGCTTTAAACCTGTAAGTGTTGTCAAGTTTTCCATCGAGGATAGCTGGTTGTAACCTTTCTACTAATACCGCAGTATTACATTTTTCTTGATCTTTCATTTTTATTTACTTTGTTTCTTAGGTTCTTCATGTCTATTAATTAATTTTGTTCCTTTTGTTGATTTGTGCTGTACCGGTACTTGTTGCACCTTATTGTAAACAAGTATACTTCTAGCTTTACACTTTGACTTGTCACTTGCCTATATATATTGATTGTTTTCTGTCTATTGTCATTTTTCTGCTATGCAGAGGAAGTTGTACTCACAATGTCATACATTTATTGTATACATAGATTGATAATGCAGGTATGTATTGTAAGTACATACTGACTGATCAGTGTAAGACTCTGTCGTACATCACTTTTCAAAATGGCGCATGGCCTAATCTTACACTGAGCAGTGGATACAGGCACACACATTTAAGCCCCGGTTACATGCAACCATAAATTGTACCAGACTCGTCGTATGCGAGAACTGTCCGTTTTATCGAACTGTTTAGTCTGTTTTTACACGCTCCAATCTATCGTCCAGTTTTCTTTCGATCAGGGAGATTCCTCATCAGAAAGCCACCATACACAACTTCACCATTGATGATCAATTAAAAAATAAAATTACTAAAATTTACATAATATCGCATTAAATCAGGTTCCCTGTGAGGTACTGTACTTATTTTGAGACGCTGGTTCAGATTATGAAATCAGTTTTTAACTGCGATAATCATTGAAAAAATTTTGAGCCCGAAGTTTAGTCCTGGGCAGCGGCACAGCGCGTCTCCCCCAAATCTGACAGTGATAGCACGAAAAATATAAAGCAGCACTTGATTTCTCGACCGATTCTCCAAGCCATCGTCTAATTGTCCAAACTTTGTACAATTTTGTGGTTACACCTAATGATTTGTCTCATGATCGATAGATCGTCCAGGTTTTGCACAATTTATTGTCATGTGTAACTGGGCAGTTATGTGTATGTTGATCTGGCTGCACTTTTACTGAACAATAAATGACAGACTTGAAATGATGATGAAAATATGCCTCTTAGTCTCAGGTATGTGCAATATTCAAATAAAGAACCGCTTGTTTCTTATCTTTGAAAGTTTTTTTTATATTGAAAAACAGCTAGAAAAAACTTTTCTTAAGATACCAAGGGGATGCAGAAAGAACAAATGGACCCATAACTAAAAGTCATCTCACCAGTTTCCCGCCTTTACTTGCCTGTGGTATGTAAGGTATGGCAAAAAGGATATCATTACTTCCGAAAAAAATTTCCAGTATTTTTTTACCTACCCGTTCTCCCTTTTGCTGATAGACTTAAAATATGCAAATCTGAAATTATTTAGTGTCTTACTTTTTCCCCAAAAATATTGTGCAGTGGATGAGATCAAGGGATGCTTTGAAGATTAATTGTTCAGTTTTAGGCAGTCAAAGAATGTTCGGTGTACTAGAAGATGAGTTGCTCTTCGGTTTGACTATTTTGAGATTCGATAAAAAGTTTCAATAATGCCGGTTTCCACATCTATATTAACCAGCGTCTAGAGATAGCGGTTTGGCAAAAGTTGTCCCATGTAGAAATGTAGAAGACCCAAGTGGGGTGAATTTTTATTATCTCTTGTCTTTCTGCTGGGGTGTTCTATCCCTCTCAACCTAGGTTAGCCCTGACAGGCAGGGACGGAGGCTAGCCTCCTTAATGATCACGTCATTTAAAAGAAATAAATTTATATCTATATTATGGCAGGACAGATACTGTTCTCTTTCAATAAAGGAAGTATCTTAAAGGGAATGAGTGAAGAACGTTCAAAAGAGAGCTTTCATTTGACTAGAATTGAAACAAATCATCTTCATCAGCACCTTGTTGCGATGTCTTAATTGGTGTAGATTGTGAAGGATATTTTTCCTTCGTAAGATGAAGCGTCTTTTGGTGTACAATCTTACAGTGTACTTTACACAGGTTTAGGAAAGATTTTTCTTTAGTTTTTTTTTAGGGACCTTGTATGTACTCCTTGTGAGTTATCTTCTTTCAAAAAAATATCCTCATCAGTTTGACCATAATAAACTTCTTGTGAGTTACCCCCCTTTTCTCCAATACGGTCTGGGGGTATCAAAATAATAATGTTATTAGTCTTGTGTATCCAAAGATTGTTTGACCCGATGGAGAGTTCACCCTATGGTGATAACGTTGGCAGTATGCCACTCTTACAATGATGTTTGTTTGTAACACCGTGTTTTATTATATTGATTCACTGCATTTGGAAGTGCACATATTCATCTCTTGCCATGATCTGTTAGAATTTTTTAAAAATCAAGTTACAGTAAGGAATTCATGTTTAAATGATCTATGAATGCTGTTTCAAAACCATGAAAAGTTGTTTTAACGAACTATTTTTTTATAACTATGTTGCTTTTGAGTGTCTCATACATCAAGAAAAGTGTTGTTGTTAGTATTTTTATTATATTATTATTGAGAGTACCTTGTGTTTGCAAAACATTCCAGACTAATGGGAATAAAAAAGTGTAGTGCATTTTGCAAATTTATGTACCTTGTTGCTGAATTTGTTTGTTATGGGTGAGTTCTCAGCTGAGATTATAATAATGTTGATAGGGACGTTAAACCCATACCATTTCACCATTTTTTCCAGCTGAGATGCCTCTGCTGTGGAAATACCTGCTTTTTTTTGCTTTTTTATTTAGGGGAGTGGGGGG